TCTCAACGAAAGCTTTAGGCCTCATGATAACATTGTAGTTAACTCTTTCTTCTATCTTGGAAAACAAAGCTTCTTATCATTTACTTTCCAAATCACGATTCGACCTGTGTTGGCATCTACAGGCTCCAGGCTTTCTAGAACGGTGAGCCGAGGTTTTCTTCTCACAATTAAACACATAAAAGCCCAAAGCAACCCTCCTGTAGTGTTAGGTGAGGCCAATCTACGAATCCCTTCGACCCTCATTCTCGAACGAAATGAAAGGTGCCCCAGTATGAATCTATCAAGGGATTCTTTAAAACCCACTTTCTCCTCATATTTCTAGGATAATACCATATTCATGTGAGCTCTTCTTCTTCCTTCGCCAACCCGCTGGTTTCTCACTCAAGCCACAATCCCTGCTGTGTCATTAATGGCCTATGCATTGTGAAAAATACAGCCATAAATGTTAGGAATCTTTATTTTCGCCTTAGGCGTACTGTCGAGGTTTAGAAACGCTTTCTGAAGTAATAACCTGTTAGACGGCTGCTAATGAGATGTGAATTGAATGAAATTTACTTAATTTGATTGTGATTGGATCTGCTAATTTGATTGTGAGAACATCCAATTTTTCATTCCTTAAATCACCCTGAGCTGACTTAAATGCTTATTCAGACTTCTCACTCCAAAACGGACTCTGTCGTTATCCGTAGAAGTGCAGACCTAAGTTGTCAAATTGTTAAGCCATTTCAAGGTTTAGCAAAGTCGAACTCTTCAGCGGCCACCACCGTTTGAGTAAGGGGCACGGTAGGTCTTCTCCAAGATGGAGGTTCAGCGTTTGTGTCATGCTAATGACTTGAAGATACCGACAGCCCTTGGCTCATGAGGCTGATAAATTTTGCCTAAAACTAGCCGAAAAAATGGGGCGGAATTCGAACCCGAGCTCGTATACAAAAATGTTTCCTATCTATGACCAATCTTTTTAGAAACTGACATGACGATTGGCCAATGTATTTGAACTCTCTAATTTTCTCTTTTGGGTCTACCCAGATTCTTCTGAGTCCAAAAGTTCCTGATTCGAGTCCCGCTAGAGCCATTGCCAAAGCCGCCTGACTTAAAATATACTTTTTGAGTCAAGGCCTTTTTAGGAATGTATGGTCTCAAAAGTGTGCCATGTTGAGCCGCGCGGTGGCTTCACCGGAAGATCTCGATTTAACGCCGAAGTCGTCAGCTTAACTCCGAACCTTGGACAGCCTCGAGCCGAAGAGCCGCCGGAGTCGGCCCAGCATTCCTTCAACCTGCGCACGGGACTCGAGCCCAGCCCCGATTTTCCCTCTTCTTTATCCAAACAAGCCACAAGTTTCCTCTACTCCCCCGGGCTTGTTGTCACAGTTACGGTCTCTCAAGGCATTCCGCTACTTCGGTCACTATCAATTAGAACTCGGCCGGACCCATAGTCTCGAAATAGTGTCTGGTTGACTTTTAGGCTCTTCTGTCTGTTTCCGTTTTGTCCTCGCTCCTTTTAAGTCCGCCGCAATTTCTGCCCGGCCATCAGGTCTTTGCAAGGCCTCGGCTCTAGACCACACAGCTTTCGGCATGACCGATTTATTCATATTTCTCTCTTCCCTATTCACATATCCAAATGACTTCCATACAAATCCGCTTTCTGTAGATCTCACGGCTCCAGATAAGATGCTGGAGATGCTGTTCGAGTACGCCGTCGATTACAAATACAACGACCTTTTGGGCGGATCCACTTTCAACCAAGAATGGCTGTCCGAGTCCTCGAGACGTCTGCGAATACGAATATGGGACAAGAAATCTCAGACCAATTTCTATCATGATATCCACTCTCAAGATACCTACATGGTGTCCGGTAAGTCAAAAGAGCTCATGATTCTCGGCACTATAAGTTTTATTTTTCCACCAACTCTCTCTTACCCATCTGCGCTCCATCTCATTCATCTTCATTTAACCTGAGTTCAAATAACTGAACCCGACATGTGTCTGGCACTAGGCAACTGTGATTTTTACGAAGACGTGAAGGCCAAGATGTTGTAGCCTCTATTGGCGAAAGGGGCAGAAAAATCGGTATTCGAATCAAGGAACATCAAAAGCTCTGCATGATAATGGATGCTGAAGGGTCAGAAATTGCACAGAATCGACACGAGACCAATTGGAACGCGAAACAACAGAAAGAAGGGCCTAATCCGGTGAAAATACAAGAAAACAAGGGAATTATAGAAACCATCGACATCCTTGTGGAAAAGATTTAATGAACAAGAGATTGGAAGAAAGCAGAGCTAGCGATAACTTTGCCTATTGCTTAAGCAATTCAGACGAAACAGGGATACAGCAATATGAAGAAAAACCTTTACGCTTGATTTGGTATATTTTTGCTATATTTCGTGAAGTATAAATTCCTGCTCTGATGATGTCTGTCACGGCGGTACGGAAGAAAGCTTAGCCTAGTTTCATCGGGATCGCAGGACGGTGAGCCGACCTTTTCGCGCAATTCAACAGTCTCCTCTTCTGGTTCCGGTGGGACCACATCACGACTTCGTTCCAATCAACTTTTCCTTTGAAATGGAAAGATACATCAAGTAAGAAGCGGACGAAGAAGTTTCGAAAATCAAGCACAAAACTTCTCGCTGAGTGTAGTCTGCTCGAAGAAACAACTACAACTTTGGAGGCCTAGTGGTCTCAGGATTAGACAACCGATAATAACAACCGTCACAGATATTCGGTCTTATGGCCAAATAAACTAGAAATCAACTCGAGATGAGCAAATCAAGAGGAAGAGGCGGCGATGTAAACAGCAAGTGTGACGAGGCCACATTAAACTCGCCAAAAATGGCACACCTTTTAAAGAGGTGGCACATAAACATTTGAGAAAGTGATAGGGCCAGAGTGAGATGATGGCGCCAGGACAGAAAGAAGAGTGATAGCATAGGAATTGGGAAATTGACGCATGGACAAGAAATTCAACCATAAGAAAGGATGCACGACCGCCAACAGCCTACGGATTACCGAAGATACGCAATGAAGGAGAGTCTTTAAGGCTGATATTCAACAACAAGTATGGAGCAACACACAAATTAGCAAAGTTTATATGTTTGAAACTCAAGAAATTAAATGAGAGGCTATCAAATACGGTGAAGCATTCATATGAGTTTTCTAAAAAAATAAAAAACATGTCATTGGAAGAAACGGACTTATTTGTAAGTCCTACTGGAAATCATGGACCGAGAGGATGATATCGTGGAATCACAACAGATCGGCAGGGAGTCGTTAACAAGACAAATCAACTTGGCAATGAGGACAACCTATTTTAGATTCAACAGGAACATCTATGAACAAATATTTAGACTTCACATGGGATCGCCGCTCTCACCACTTTTGGCCAACGTATGCATGAAAAAAATAGAAGAGTACATCAAAAATTGCACCGCTACAACCGGGAGTATTCATGCGGTATTTGGATGATTACTTCACACTTTGGTCATATGGAAGAGAAAAACTGGAAGAGTTTGTGAAATGTGTAAACCAGATTGATGGAAAAATTCAACTCACAATGGAAGTAGAGGAAGGTGAGCGTTTACCGTTCCTGGACGTTGAAGTGATTCGTTCTAATGGAACGCTGAAAAAGAAATTGTTTAGAAAGAAGTCTTATGCTGGGATCATACTCAATTTCCGGTCCAATCACAATCACAGGCTGAAGATTGGAATAATGAGGAGCATGATCATCCGAAGCCTACGATTAACGAACGTACAATTCTGGGACGAGGAGGTTGACAAATTGATGAGGATATTTTATCGGCAATGGCTACTCAATTGAAGTGATACAAAGAAACATACGGGTCGTGAAAATCCGATGGCAGAACGGGGACTATGAAAGAAGAGTAAGGACGATGAAGGGTTCACAAAAGTGGATATTCCTACCGTCCTGCCAACTAACTCAAAAACTTCAGCCAATATTGAGGACATGGAATATTCTTGTGGTCATGAAAAAGAAAGTAACACTTTTCGCATTTCTACCGACGCAACATGAAAGGGTAGACAAATTGGACCGTTCAGGAGTTTACTGTATATCATGTGGCGCGTGCAAACTGAAATATATTGGCGAAGCAGGTAGAAAAATTAGCATACGAATTATTGAACATCAAAAGCTCTGCATGAAAATGGATACCGAAAGATCAGAACTAGCGGAACACATCGCGCAGAGTGGACACAAGATCAATTGGAAGGCAACAGGAAGAAGGGCCCTATACGATGACAACATAAGGAAGAGCAAGATTAGGCAGGCCATTGACATCGTTGGCGAGAAAAATCTGATGAACAGGAGATTGGAGGAAGGTAGAGTTAGCGATAACTGCCCACTGCTTTAAGCAAACTCGGGGATAACAAGAATAGAGCAAAACCAGCCTGGATCAAGGATCTATCGCTAACCGGAGGAAAAGGGATCACGTTGAAGAAAGTGGGGGACAGAGGTTTTCGGCAAGAAAAGCGAACACGTCGTCAGTGAGTGATGTCCGTTTTGAATAAACTAGTACAACTTTTGGGGCCTGGCGATCAGGGCGCTGGGCAGACTGACAAGCAAACCGGCACGGAAATTCGGCGTTATGGCCAAAATGTACCAGAAATCCACTTGAGATGCCGCATGCGACCAGAAATGGGCGTCCACAGCTTGCTCAGATAACATGTATTTTATGTTGGAGACGATCCGTGAAGGGAAGGCTTGATATTTGCAGGCATGGGAATCAGAGTCTAGGCGCTTTTCCTCGGTGAGGCTGTGGTGTACCTGCTTCTAGGACCTTGAGAAATAGCGCCTGGATTAAAATGCACACTGGGACTGGAACCGAGTGAAATTGGTCAACCAAAAAGAGAAGAAACGGATCTACGAGTCAATGAGTGGATCCGGATTGGAGGTCCGAGTCGGATCAACCGATCGAAAGAGAGGGTTTGGGGTGAATAGCAAGTGTGATGAGACCACACTAGATTTGCCACAAAAGGGCACAAATTTTGACAAGTTGTGATAGGGCGGCAGTGGGATAAGAGGGTAAAGAGTGTATAGATAGACCAGGATAGAAAGACGAGTAATATTGTAACCGTTTTCGGCAAAACTTTTGTCGAGCGATTGACGTCACTTGTCTCCTTGACGATTTCGTAGTTTGGTGTGGAGAATGGCAAAGTTCATTGATGATGCCGACTACGATGTCGGCGAAACGTTCGAGAATGTACCCAGTCCAATGTCTGATGCTGGGAATCATGACACACACATTTGACCAGTGGAATGTAAACAAGTGAGTAGTTGTGATAGGGCAGCTGTGGATAAAGAGGGTAAAGAGTAGATAGATAGGCCAAGAGAGTAAGGGCAGTGATAGTGTAACCGTTTTCGGTAAAACCTTTGTCGAGGGATTGACTTCACTTGTCTCTTTGACGAGTTCGTAACTTGGTGTGGAGAATGGCAAAACTCTTTAATGATGCCGACTACGTTTGATGCTGGGAGTCATCACAACTACAATGGCAGATGACTTCGGACTAGGTGCGTTCTACTAAGTCGCCCTGACAACAAGACCAAGTT